GATGACGACTGATGTTGAAACCGAGTGGCAGCTGTTTGAGAGGCCTACTCGAGGCTGCCGCCGAATGCTGCGGATAAAAACGGGTTGGCCTGCCGCCTGGAGGTCAGCAAAGATCTTCATGGTGGACACGAGAGGTACAATTGGCAGTTAAAGAGAAGGCAACATTTAGGAAATGGCTTGGATACTAACAGCCTTCTACTGGCGTGCGATGTCGAGGCACGCAAGGTGCCAGCGAAAACAAAGCCGATTCCTGGGAGACGTTCGGTGAGGTGTTGGACAGCCTTTTAGCGAAGATAAGAACATTCATTTTCGATAGAGAGTACTTTGAGGAACTGATTAAATCCAAGCAACCGCAGGAAGACTTGTCTGAAGAACAGTGGTGAACGAATACTAGTTCTTGTGTAGATGAAATCACATAAGCTGTGGAAAGCTTAAAAGTGGAAAGGCTGGTTATTCGATGAAATTCAACCTGAAATGCTCAAAGCATTAAGACAACAAGGCTTGTGTCAAATTACACATGTTTGTCAAACGGAAAAGGCTATGGGGAAGACTCGAGCGGACTGGAAAACAGCGGTTATAATACCCCTGTTCAAGAAGGGAGACCATAGGGAGTGCTCCGATTATCTGAGCATTGTTTTATTGAGTTTCGCGGATAAAGTTAACGCAAATATGCTAGAAAGGTGTCGCAAATCACTGACTCCAAATCACATGCGAATTTTGCCAACTGGCCTTGCCGAAGCAATCTGACCTGAGAGTTGCTCTGCACCATAGAGCTCATCAGGTATACATGTGCTTTGTGGACCTAGCGAAAGCCTATGGCCGGATCCTGCGCAACAATTTATGGGCATGCCTGTGAACATGAGATTGACCTCCAGTTGTCGTGGACCATCTAATCACCATATGCTCATAGCAGATGCCGGGTCAGAGTAAATTGCCGTAAGTTGAGATCTTTCAACGTTGGCACTGGTCTCCGCCAAGGTTGCGTTCTGCTCACTCTCCTGTTTGTGCTGTAAATGGATAAAACAGCCAGGCGCAGCCAGCGCGATGAGTGTATCAACGTAGGACTTGTTAAGACGAGAAAGTTGCTGTCTGTAGACAACCTTATTTTAATTGCATCAGCTGAAACTGATCTACCAGCGCTCTTTGGAAAGGTTCGCAGCTGAGCGCGAAATGGGCGGTATTTACGTGAACGCATCCAAAACGAAAAGCCTAGTGCTTTCCTGTTCTCCTGCCCATTGCTCTCGTCACATTAACAGAGAGACTGTGGAGCAGGTGGAGAAGTTCAAGTACCTTAGAGTCGTATTTACTAGTGACGGAAAATTTGAGGAAGACATCCACCGGCGAATTGCAGTTGCCAGTAGCGTTCTACATGAACTAGCCCGAACCGCTGTGACTAAAGCGGAGTTGAGCGGAAGACAAAGCTGTCGGTATTCAAATCGATCTTCATAACCATGCTTACCTGCGATCATAAGTTGTGGAGTATGACTGGAAACCTTCAATCTCGAATACAGGCGGCTGAAATAGGCTTTCTGTAATGTCCCTGGCCTTACGCATCTCGACACGGCCCGGAATAAAGAAACCTGGGAAAACCCTGGTAGCCGCTGCTTCTTCAGACTGCGAAGCCACAGCTGCGATGGTTTTGGCACGTGTTGCGAATGCCTCCAGAAAGGAAGACTAAGTCCTTGAAACTACTACCTGCCCTGCTGAGCGGCGGGAGATCCAGGAGACGGTCAAGATTAACCCGGAACGAATATATAAAAGGAACCTGCACTAGACTGTGGTTGTCTTCTATCGAAGTTCAGACTCTGGCACATCCCTCTGTAATGTTGAAAGCACTGTCTGACGCGTCAGACTCCATAGCCCAAAAGGAGAAGTCATGGAAGATTATAAAATTTCATGTTATGGAAATAATTTCGTGCTAGTGTGGAACACTTCGAATAAGTGCGTACTTCCAAAACTGTCGAATATTGGTAATAATAACATGAATGTTTAACACATTCCGCATGTACACACGTTGACGTAATTGCTAACAAGTCAATATCACTGGGAAAACGTTCATTGAAACGTTTTAATATATATAACATTTGTCAGTTTCATTTGGTTTATTCCTAAGCATTCTGTGCAAGTTGAAACCTCTAGTATCTATGTTCATGTACGCGCCGTCCAACAGTTTTTCAGAAATCGCTCGTGCAGCAGGAATGGCATGCTGCAGGCTTAAGCCAGAAAAACCTGCAATGTTAAAGAAATTCTGCTGCGCGATGTAATCGCCAATAACTGGACTGCCATCATAATAATTTTCATCCGTGTAGTAAGCCCACGCATTCTTCATCTGAAACAAAACAGCGTGTATAGCAAATGATAACTGACGTAAAATACAGATCTTCTAATATGGCAGTAACGAATAAAGCATCAAGCATTTTGCAGAAACCTCTATGATTAACTGTCAGCAAGTGCGCGACGAGCTGAGACAAAGCTGAGTTACGTTTATTTATAATTCCCCACTCCACTGACAGGGTAAAAAATATTTTACCGCGATGACAATGTAAAAGTTGCTAATCACACAGAATGTATGAAAAAAATTACCACCAAGCTGGCTTAACAAAATTTTAGAAAATATATCAACTGTAGGAAAAGTCGTATATCGTCAGAAAAGTTTAAGTTTGCGACTGATCGTTAGGTTAGGGCTGCATCAAGATAATTCATTTTCGTATAACGATTCCATCCACTGAGACAAAAGCGGTGATAAAAGATAGCAATCCATGACCGTATTCACAACACTAAAGGTTGGATTCACAAATTCATCAAAGTATGGCCAAGAAACAGCACTCAAAACTTCATCGAAACTTATCAAGATCTAATCAATGGAGAGCTATGAATTTAAAACCTGGATTATCAGAGCAGCAGAACTAAATTAAATAAATAAATTTACGTCAACATCTTGTACTAACTTTTGGTCAGCCATCAGGTGAGTGAAGGTGCTAAACTGCAGCAGTCAGCGTGGTCACAAGTCTCGCAGGTTATGACACGACTGAATCAAAGCGCCATGCTGTCACTATTATTCGTCGTTCAACGACTTGCCACCCGTTTTTTGGCTGGTTGCATCAAAACATAGCGGTGTGAATTCCATAGTCAAAGGAATTAGCAATTAATAAAAGAAAATGTACGCCCCTGTTTCGTTTGAACCCGCATGATCGCACATTTAAAGCAGATTTCTAACCAACTGCGTCACAGTCCCCCAGCTATCGTGAATTAACCAAGTGGAAATACGGCGTTACAGATTACTGCTGGGAATATCCTGGAAGGGCAGTGAGATATCTTGGCACTTAATTCCTTTTTCTTTGCAGATATACAGAAGCCAACGGTGCGTAAAATATATGCTGGCCTTGTCAAAAGAAAGAACTGCAATTTCACATGTATCAGATAATGCAGTTTTGAACTCCAGTGGCGTCGAATCGAGTTTAACGAAGTCTGATTACAATGAGAAGCCTTTTAATTAATTGCTATTTATGTTACTGTGTTTTGATGCAACCAGTCAAGACATGGGCAGTAGATCAATGACCTGCAAACAATAGGTACTATCCAATATTTTGTCATAGAGACTTTTTGTAATTCCGTTTTTTCCAGAGCCTATGAAACTTATGATCGTAGTGTCCAATGCGCACGTTTCACGACTATAGTGCCTTGACCCATCAAGCAACTGACTTAGTCAGCACAACATATGTACAATCCATACATAACAAATACAACTTTTTTTAATACGAACGTAGATTGACAGAAAATCAGCGATGGAATACGAATGAACAACGATGGCACAAAATTTACATTTACCTTCAACTTTTCAAATGCGGGTATCCTCTTAGCTAACATCGGCCAGATATGTTCATCAAAATAATCATAATCAACATCTAAATTTGAATGATCGATCGTGGCGTCTTCTTCCTAAAAGATTAATGAAAATCGAGCAATCAATAACGTGAAATTCAGTTAACTGCAGTCGGAATTTTGCCGCACATGTAGAGATTGCCGAACCCTTCTCTTCGACACCATACTCGACTGCAGTCAAACAAATATGGCATGTCTAACGATGGTCCATCCGGACAATGTACGATATACGCATAGCGTTTCCTGTGAAAAGTAAAGCAATGAACACTGAATTAATAACTTCAGTAATACATACAAAATAAATGACCTTCGCTTCCAATTCCGTGATTAGTGACACGAAGTACGAATAAAACTTTTTACTTAGATGACCAACGCTTCGATCGATCGCAGACGATCCTCGTGAGAATTGTTACTTTGAGTCGCCAACCATGCAATCGGAAGAGAGAGTTATCTTTGTCGTTCAAGGCACGGAATCGGTAAATTTTCTCGAAATTATCCATACAAAATAAGTGTTCTGGCAAAACAGCAACTTAAACCCAACGACGTTAACTGTGCCACTGATGGATACCCATTTCAAGCTTTTTCTATCGGTTCATTAAGCCACCAATAACAGTCTGGGCATAAATTGCCGGGTCTACGTCATAAGGGATAAGCTTTCGTGCACACTGATCCAAAATCGAATATCTTTTCGGTTGTACGTATAAGACTCCATCAATAAAAAGCATGATCCTTCGAGCGTCACCTACAAACTTTCATTCCTCTCAGAACAGTGGCGAGATTTTAGAATTTTCCATCTACACATTCGATCGTTTTTGTCATTCCCATAAACTATGTCTGCTCTGCCGTAGTGCCTCTGTACTGTTTTCTCACATCCATAAGGTACTAGTGACTATCTTGTAGCTTCGCGCGTTTGGGCTTTTGGTCGCCTTGGGCTAAGCCACAGAAACAGCTAAAAGAAAACAGCCCATAAGATGATAATATAGTAGTATAGTACCAAAGATCTGAAACCTTAATTCGGAAAAGGCTAACAGCAGTCGTTTAGCTGTCTTTCTCAGCGCATTAAATACTTTACAGATCCTCAACTTAAGTGCAGAAAGCGTGCAGATGAACAGTAATTCTCCAAGTTTATAGGGTAGACGGTGTGATACAAATATTTGTTACGTTTTCTTTCAACATTAACAGTCACCTGGGAATTCGTCTGTCCGAGTTTGCAGCCAAAGAGTACTAGCAAAACAGATCCCTTTTCAAGACGTTTGTCAAGCCTTGACTATAACAGCCTTATTAGACTGTTTTAAGATTCACGACAAGTCTTTAACCTAAAAAATGCCCTACGTCGTAAACTGGCCTTGACCGGCGGTCTCAGAGTCTGCTAAACTTGTAATTATGTTATAATCTCTCTGAAAAAGGAGGGCATATGTCACTGTCATTGGTGTATAAAGTCATGCGAAACTAATTAAAGAATTACTTCTTCATGATTGGAACTGGCACGGACATAAGACCGGAACCTTTACCAAAGCCAGCCATGTCGCAAATTTCGCCAGCCCATGCGCCAGCGCAGTTTACCATAAACGTAGCACTGATCGGTCGAGGGGCAGCGTCTGTCATCTGCGGTTCTATCTACAATTCGAACGCATGTTGGGTAAAAACGTAAGAACGAATCATACTATGAGTCTCGTTATTCTTTTATAACGCCATTGCTCTTCCGGCGGTTGGTATTCAGGCAAGTCGAACTCGGTGTTCCATTCGTATATGAAACCCGTCACTTTGGCCTTAATGTATTGAACACCAAGAGAAATATTTCGTTCGCGAAATGCCGAAAGTACTTGCCAACCGTCAAAAACACCGCCATTTTCAAGTCCTGCAAACGGCGAAAAATGACAGACTTTTAGCACAAATTTGAAATTAACCAGGCCTAAAACATGGTTCATGAAATGAAAAGAACAGCAGTATAGCATACTGGCAGAGCTTCAGGGTCCAACACTTAACTTTATGCTCCCAGAACCTACACGAATGTTGAACATCATCAAAGAATCATTTCGGGCATTAAACCGTTTCATACCTGAACTGTCATTTCCTACAGTTCGCTGACTACTATTAAAAAGAATGGGCAAACCTTTCCCAGCATTCCATCATAATTCAGTTTAACAGATCAATGCAAAGAAGACATCAAAAACTGGCATCCTTTCTGCGGTACAATGTGCGTTACACATACTCAGATTCTCCAGCCATCGTCCTTTTGCTATACACTTCGCTGTTTTCTTCCAGAAGATCCCGGTCTCGAGATTTACTTAGTAATGAGATGCCATAATAACATAACTCTGCTTTCTACGCAATTACTTGGAACGGGTCCCCTGGAATGAAGTTCGAAGTAAGACTTACGAGACAAGTATGCTACCTATTTGGAGGCCAACTTAATACGGTATTAGGTTGGACATATCAATGAGATTGAAGGAATTGGATGATGGTGCACTGAAATCTGTTGCCGGTGTCAGAATGAATCAAAAACCACAAATGTTGATCAGCTAATATTTCATCCAACAAATCAGACTGAAGGGCAACAGAAAACACTGGTACACGCTGTCAATAATTCAAAGCACTTCATCAAATTATGCAGAAAAAGACAGCTACCATCAGACTGGTACAATTTAAATTCAGAAACCATCCTAAAAGAGACTTGAAGGACAGATCTGGACACCCTCTTACCAAGGATGATGACATTCTGCGGCGATGGAGGGAGTACTGTGAGGAACACATTAACCCCGCGCAACCGCAGGAACACTCACCCGTAGAGCAGAAGGGAACGGATATTATCATCTCTGTAGATGAAATTGCACAAGGTGCGAAAAGCTCGAAAAATGGAAAAGCTGCTGGAATTAACGAAATCCGCCCTGAGATGCTCAAGGTATTAGGAGAACAAGGCATGTACTGGCTAACACGTGTGTGTGTC